CGCATCCAACGCAGCGTATTCAAGCCCTGGCATTACGCCATTCATGTGCAATAAGTGCCGTTCGACCATTGGAAAAGAGAATTCACCATCCGGACACTTGATCTGATTTACTCTCAATGGAGCAATGGGTTGATCATAGTCCTTCTCCATCAAATCTCGCAAAGGAACAACAAGAAATTCGTGACGCCAAAGAAAGTCAGGATGGATGGGATACCCCAGAAATATTCCAGCCCTGGAAGTAGGTTCAAACTTCAAAGGCTGACTTGACACCCAAAAGGCAAATATGGTCCGGGAAAATCTTCCCCAAAACGTACCTTCCATGGTGAATGATGATCTGGGTGGTCCGTGATGTTATGCGCCATGCAATAGTGTTTGGCCGCATGTGGCCAATACGAATGACGCAAACCAGCTTGTTCCAGGTTGGTCCTCGTGCCCTCGATGATCGCCCTGACGTTCCTCTCAGCAATAGCATTCGCTTTAGGAAATGTAGTTTGTACTTTGAACATGCTTCCATTCCAATTGATCCGCCGCTTTCACAAGTTCAGGAGCCCGATCACTGTAAAATACGTTCACGGTTTCCCCGGTGCGGACAAAGTGCTTGAACGCCATCACACACTGATGAGAGGTTTTCCGTGCTGCTGGGTAAACATAACGGAAATCAGTGGCAACATCTCGAACCACGAGTGCAACCCTAGATTGATCAATGCCGATTTCACGATCGTCTGAGGTAATGAGATGGTCCGCCGTGAGGTGATCACCAAACTTCTTGGCCTCAACTTGAGTGGAACCTCCCTTTTGTCTTGATGGATATTTGTACATCTTCGCCCTGTTACAAGTCTCGCAAAAGGGGTTCTTGGGAGTGTGACACATCAAGTGCTGGAGCGAGGCCGCCTCATCACGCAAAGCTGCTTCACCGCGTTCGCGAGGAGCATCCTTCAAAATAGGCTTGGACACAAACTCGGAAGCAATGACCTTAGGCGACTCTTCAGAGGGAATGTCATGGCACTTTTCGATGACCTCACCTTCCGGTTGGCTTATGGTATCTTCAAGCAAGAAATCATCGCTCCCCAATTCGTCCCCATCATCCTCATTGGTCACAAGCACCTCTTCCACAGCTTCTGGTTCTTCGTCAATGACTAGAACTTCGTCCTCAATTTCGATGGGAGCTGATGGTAAAGATGTAACCTTTGGGATGCTTTGTGACAAAGCTGGAACAGCATTTTGAATCTCTGGAGGAATGAATGGTACATTGTCTTTGACCTCGAGCTTGATGCGTGAACCATCCGGAAGCCGGAAATAAGGTCTGCTGTGTGCTCTCCAAACGAAATCATATCCGTCTTTCAAGCATCTCATACCCACTGACAACACGGATGGAGCCCTGTCAAGAACATACGGCCGAACAACACTATCGGTCTGTTTGATCTTGACCCTGGCCTGCTCGGTACCGATAATATTTCCATTGGCTGTGGAAAATTTCAGAGGTTGAGACGATTCGTAAATACACCCCATCTCTGCATCGGTCCTCGACAGCAAATCCTGAGAAGCTCCTGTATCCGCGATCCACGGAATGTGAGAAGAATCCATTGGTATACGAGCAACAGCAGCCTTACCCTTTATGGGTGAAGTCTCGGGCTTCTCTGGCTCGGCCGTTAGGCCTGCGGGGATGCAGAAATCACAGCCTACCCTTTATGGGTGAAGTCTCGGGCTTCTCTGGCTCGGCCGTTAGGCCTGCGGGGATGCAGAAATCACAGCCGAAATCAGAGTCGCATTGAAATTTGCAAGAAGTCTTCGTGCCTTTGACAAAAATCCTTCACCATAGCTTCATGCATAGCGCCGACGAGAGTTGCGTCTGAAACAGCTCTCTCATCGAACTTCGGAATGAAATCAACAGGAAACTCATGTGCAAACCTTCTCGACGAGGCAGTGTAGGGCCAAAGCTCGCCGTCAGTCTCATAGTTCGAAATAGATGGGTAGTCTGAGAATTGTACACACTTCTTGATACATGGCATACCCTGGAAAACATCGTGACTCACACTAGGCAGGCAAGGATACGAGGCGACCGAGTCGAGGGTCGCGGCGCACACCATCGCCTGGAGGAGGCACACCGCGGCATTGCTGCCTTTTGACGATCGCGGAGACTTGAGGGACTGAGAACCCTTCGAATCTTTCGAATCCTGAGAAGAAGGCCTGCTACCCTTCTTTTCCTTTTTCTTTTTCTTGTCTCTCGGCGATGTCTTGGGGGTGTCTCCACTAGTATTCTTGTGGGCTTTTGGGGCTGGAGCTGCCTTGGAAGTTGCGGGGTGCTGCCATGGGCAATCCTTCCCCCTCTCGCCTCTGTTCGCTTTGAAGAACTTGCATACCTGGGGCTTGGAACCAGGAGGACTCTGCGAACGATACTTCCTTGGCGTCTGGGATCTCGATCCGCCCTTCTTGCCTTTCCCCTTACCTTTCGGTGCCTTAACATGTTCGAATCGGCAGTCTGAACCATAGGTGCACTGGCCAGTTTGAAATTTCACCCATACACCCTTGGGGATTCCAGGAACTGCAGGGTTGTTCGATGGAGTCCTGCAACGTCCCGTCGTGTTGCTCGACATAGCATCCCGCATGTGAACAAGCCTCTTGCGCTCCAAATAATTCCTCGATGCGTCTATCAAGAATTTATAGGAGTGCTTTTCCGTCCCTTCCTCAGCCCGCTCATACTCATTGAGATCATGACTGAGAGGCCGAAACTTTCGAATCTGGCGGTGGAACAGCGCTTCAAGGGTCTTCTCATTCTGCTCATTGCCCATTCCAGCGATGACCGTGTCCCATCTCGTCATGAAGTTCTTGAGGTCCTCGTTGATGAGCTGGACAGAGAGCAAGTCCTCAAAGTCGTAAATTGCACCATGTTTGTTCGTGCTGAAGTGCTTGTGAACCATCAAAAGAATTTGGCGTCCCCTCGCGTAGCGTTTCTCCTTTGCTTCTTGTTCTTTGAAAATGTCGACTTGCCGCGCGAGGTCGCCCTCCAAGATGTTCGTCAACGCCGATGCCAGCCTTGCGTCAAGATGGACAAACATTCCTGAATCACGAAGGACTTCAACAGTTTGACCTGGGATCCAAGTTGCCTCAATCCACTCAAATGCCTTTTCGGGTTGATCGGAAGTAGCAACAACAGCATCCCTAACTTTGATCCTCCAATTACGGTACTGTTCGGGCTTCGGGAATCGGGGAATCTGAATTCTGTCACCCTCCTTTACACGAACGCGTTCCGCTGTCGGATCGCTCGAATTGCCTAAGTGCTTCAGTAGCTTTCGTCGAAAGGATTCATCCGATGCGGTCGAAGTTGATGATGAAGATGACGAGGGGGAAGATGACGGATCTCGTCGCCGGCGTCGGCTACGGTCCTTCTTCTTCTTCTTTTTCTTTTTCTTGTCCTTGTCATTTCCACCATCACCATCATCGCCAGGCCAACCGTCTCCGGTAGCAGCATCGTCCACGGCCCCGGCGGGAACGGATCCGTCTTTGCCGTAGGGGTCGCTCCCGACCTTCGTCCAACTGTGTGAGGAAGCATTCGAAAGTCCGGGTGGAGATGCAGCCAAAGGAATTGTCGGGATAGCCAAGGGGGTAGCTGGTGCCTGCTGAACGGGAGGCACAGGGGCCGGAGCAGGCTGAGCAGGCGGTTGCTGTTGACTCTGCATCATCTGCTCGACCATAGCCCTCAGCTCCCTGATCTGCCTCTCCTGCTCGCTGATCGTGTTCATGGCGCTTTGGTACTTCATCTCGGCTTCTCTTTCTGATTTCATGGTGTTCACACGCTGCTCCGCATTCATTTGAATCTCGCGTCTCATGGCCTCCGATTGGCTTTGAAGTCCGGCAATGATCTCACCATGCCTTGCCTCCGCCATCTGGCGACCATGGGACCGGTGTCCTGATTCACGAACTGGTTGAATTGGGCATTGTTCTGAGTAGCGTTGACCTGCTGATAGTTCGTCACGTCCTGGTTGATCGTCATCGAAGGATCGAGGTGGACGTTTGCAGCATGTTGATTGAACTGATTCATGGACTGTGGCATAGGGTTTCCCCTTGCGAGATCGGTCTGGGGGTCATACATGACGATGTCACCATGCCGATGCCGATCTGATCCAACAGGTGAAGGAGATCGAGCACCAGACCGCCCAGTCCTCCCACGGTCACTTCGAGATCGAAGCGATTCGGGGCCCTGACTGCTCAGCGCCTGTCCCTTCTTGATGAGCTCCCTGGCCACTTGGGAATTCGCGCGACTAGTCGGTTCGTGTTGCGAGGCGTCTTCATCGCCTGCAGGCTCACCAGGTGTGGGACGCACCTCAGTATGGGGTGGGGTAGTCCAGGATCGCCATCCATGGCGTACAACTCTGTACAAAGAGCCGCTTACGGCTGATAACCTATAGAACAGGTTAAACAACCGGGAAGGGTCACCAATGAACCCTGTCCACAGCGCGCTTTTTACTTGAGCCATACGCAGTCGTAATGATGAGACTGCGCAAGTGAGACATTCATGCATTGGGGTTTTACCTGGTTGAGAAATACATCACGTTGCAAACTACACTTGGGTTGGACCTGGAAAAAGGTGATCACCTATTGGGTTGCCATGAAAAAAAAAGTGGAACAAATCACAGAGACCAAAAGGTCAGAAGGCCGGCGTTGGGCAAGTGATGACAAAGCTTTCGCGACTTAACTGGGCTTGCGAGATTTGTAGCCCTATCGAAAACCTAGGGAAAAAAACAGCCAGCTACAAGGCGCTTGCTTGCAAGCACGAATTTCGAGCAAGCAAATGAAGGCTACCTTTTCTGGAGACCAGAGCCATCAGTTGGTACACGGCGATTGCCCCTGCCCCCTTTCTATGTTCCTCGCTTCTTGAGAAACGGTTTTTGCCCCAGTTGGACCAGCGACACTCTCCTCTCTCAACCTGGAAAAGACCAAACAAAATATCCCCATCGGTCTGCAAACCCCAAAAAAAAAAGAAAACGATCCATCCCCGTGGCCTCGAGTTGCTCGGAAGCCGACTGTCGGAACCACTCGCTGGGAAGCGACTCACCTCAGCGCGAAAACCCTTCAAGGCCTTGAAAACTGAGGGATCCTCGCCTCAAAACACCAGACACAACGCCAAATCGCGCAGCTGGGAGGCTACAAATTATCTCAAGGGCCATGACCGTCCCCCAAGCCCAAGTTAGAAGAGCTTTCGACCTTGCCACATTTTAAGCAAACACTCGTCAGAAGCCAATCACAAAAACTGGGTTCATTCAGAAAACCAGGGTCCCCTAAAATGCATCTGCCTCTCGGTTTCCCTGTGAGCATCCAAGAGAGACAACCCATTTGGCCATGGGTCAAAATCCAAATCGTACCCCCAGTGAACATCAAAATCCCAACTAACAATAGGTTCTGAAATGGGTGGAGCACCTACCACATTGGGATTGGTTTTGACCCACACCCATTTGGAGCGTCCGGGGCTCCCAACGCATCTCCCGGAACAGCTGCTTGTTGGGCCGATCATCCGCCTCGCCCTTGGCGGTGAGGTACTCCTGGTAGTAGGCCAGCATCTTGGCCTCAATGCTCCGAGTCTCCCAGCCTACTGTCAATGGACGAAACCCTGCACCACCGAAGACACCCAGGAATGATGACCCCTCTGTAAATGCCAATCCACAATGGTTTCAACCATGGTTTCCAAGTGGTGCGAACGGATTTCGTCCATCCACAGCATCTCTCTCCCCAGCGCTATCCTGCAGGTCCCAAATTAGGAGCGCTCCCCCGGCCTTTGTCCCTGCCAAATGATCAACTGTATCTCAAGATTGGGGGCGAACCCTGATCTGTGCGGAATGACTCGATGACGACCTGCGAAGCCGAAGCTCACAAGTTCCTCTGGCTGCTCGCTGCCCACGTGGTGGTGTATGTGTGTGATATTTTTGGAAGGTGCAATTCCTGAGCTGTTTTTTGTGCCAGCAGGGCACCCAAAAAAGGCCACACCGCCTTGCAGTACTCAGCTTGAAACACAAAACATTCGGGTGTCTACTTTTTCCCTCCGACAGTTCAAGGAAGGAGCAGAGACGGAGTGAGAGGAAGGGAGAGGAAGGCAGAGGAAGTCAGGCGCAGAGAGCGAGAGAAAACTACGTGCAAAAGGCTTCCTTCCTTGGAGGTGCAGGGCCCCAACTCACTTGCACTGGCAGCTTCACTGGCGGGCAACTCCCGCATTCCTCGCAGGCGCACCAAGACCCCCGGCGCGCAAAGCCTTCCACGGCCAAACTTGGCCGGGATCTTGGCACCAAAGGATCTCCTCTTGGCACGCTGTCGACAAAAATCACTCAAATGGCATTGCCATGGCCCCACTCCTCATGGGTCCAGAAGGACCCCCAAAATTGTGGTTGTCCTTTTCGGTTGTCCAGGTTCATTCCCACATTCCCTACTTTTGTGCACCAGAAAGAAAAAGGGGCACCAACTCACCCCTTTGCATCGCTCCCCGCAATCCTGGGCCACAAACTTCCAGCTGCGCCAGCGGGTGCGACGGCTGGGGTCTGGCGCTGCCAGGGCCTGGCGATCCACACGCAAGGGAATGAAGCTTGTACTCTAGCGGAAACAGTTGTTTCTTTTTAGTAACCTGTTAGCACTCTTTTAATATCCACAAAAGCCAGGTCCAAACCGGGGTTGTAGATGTACATATGGTATGCGCACCAATGTGTCAATGAGAGAGCGCCTGCGCATGCAGGTATGAATTCATGCAAGTAGATATGCATGCATGCATGCACGCGTGCAAACAGGCATGCGTGCGTGCGTGTGTATTTGTTTAAACTCATGCATTTTGCGTGTGTGTGTGTGTGTGTGTGCGCGCGTACAACAAACACACAACAAAAAATAATGCGGACGTCTGCATCCAGTGCACCGCATATCGCAGTGCAGCTGGAGATTTCTCGGACGGCCGGCAGATGTCGTTGCAAACCTTTCCAGAGCCACGCCCCAAAAAATGTTTTTTCCGGCATCCCCAAAACGAGGATCTGATTCTTAGTCTTGGCTTCGGCGGCTGCGGAGAAATTACCTGTTTCTGGTTACCAGTCAATTGTGGCTTTTTGTTCCTAGAGAGCTCTGGTAAATGTTCTTTCCCCCCCCCCCATCCCTCCCAAATTCAGAAACAAAACAGAAAAGCTGGGAAAGCCCGACTGGAGCTCACAGGCCGAACGAAGCCTTTTCCCTGGACATGCCTTGTCCTCCAAGACTGGGATCTGGTCAAGCTCTGCCGTGGCAACCTGCCAACCGAAGCGTGACACTTCTCCCGGCCGAGATCAGTTCATGCCCGCCGTCTGGCAAACAACATCCACGGGCAAACTGGAGCAGGAGCCAGTCCCCAGTCCAACCCTTGCATCATCTTGTGCCACGCCCCCCAAAGCGGGGGATCACGAAACATGTCGCCTCAAACACAGCCCTTTGGAGGTTTTGGGGTGCAGTAGGAGGTTTTAGTCCTTGGCTAATTGTCCGCTCCGCCCCCGAGTGGAGTTGTTGGCGGGCAGCGGATTAGGAACAAGTTTGGTCTGAAAAAGCCAACCTGCACCTTCAAACGTCACAACAGTGGAACCCTCATACCTGCATTAGAGGCTAAGTTCTGCGCCGAGGGGCCGCGGTGAGGGCCTTCAATTGACCCTCCGCCTTGGAGTGCTGCTCGCTGGCAAGAGCCGCCTGTCCAGGTGACACGACCCGCAAATGGCCATGGGCTTCCGTCAACCTTGGGGCAGTGTTTTGTATTGTGTGGTTGTCTCTTTCGAGTGACAAGGGAATCTCACAAGAAATGGGCCAAAATGGAACGGTAAGTGGAAACATGGACTAAATCCTGCGGTCCATGGGTGGTTAAATTTGACCCATACCCAAATGATGATGCCCATCTTGCGAAGCTGGGCGTGTTTTTACCTCTGCCAAGGGGGAATGCCGATGCCTCCGATGCACAGCCCTGCCTCTGCCAAGGCCGTGGACACAGCCTCCCACAACCTCACAACGTCAGGGGAATAAAACGCCCTGCTGAGGGGGGGGGGGGGGCGGGGGGGTCGGATTGCCCCCACATTTTGTGAACCAACATTTGGCTGTGGCTCAAAAGAACGTACCAAAATGCAATCTCGGCCCATGGAAAGAAAGGCCAAACTCTGCGTCGCTCCAGCTGCTTACCTTTGAGCCATGTTTGAGGGGGTGAGCGAACCCTCCACCTCACAACTTGAAGCTTTGCAGACACAAGCTGCTTCTGCCCAAGGGGCAGGTCCACATCAGCCTCGCCCTGGCCAGCAAAAAACTGCCTTGCAGGTGTCTTGGGAAACCGCCTCGAGAAACCATCAGCATGGCTCTGAATACAAAGCGATGGTTCCATGCAAGCCAACCACACCCGCCACTTTCAGCACAAGACTCTGGGTCTAAAACAAAACGCGGAAAAAAAAAAGAAAAAAAAAAAAAAAAAAAACGATCAATCTACCAACTAACCTCTAGAAGATTTTATACCAACTACCCTCTTTCCAAATGAAGGTCTTCAGCGGCTCCCCATCCCATGGGCGCCTCCAGCTTCCCGGCCAACTTCTCCGCCGCGAAGCGCCGGAAGGCCTTCTCCGTCTGCGGGGCCTGGCGAGGCGAAGCGCCGGCGTTCGGCGGCGCCAACTCGACGGGGGGGGGGAAAAAATGGTAAAAGTAGGGGGCCTGGGGGGTGGCCTGTTGATGGTTGCCTGTTCTGGTTTTTATGTTCATCTCAAATCTGTGTTCCCCCTTATTCGTTTTTAAAAGAGGGTTTTCGGGGAGCTTATTTATCGTTTTCGTTAAGGTAATCATTTGGGTAAATTGTCGCCTTGTTCATTGTTGGGCTGGGGGCAAACATTTTTTTCATTTGAAAGAGGTAGCCCTTTTAGTAGTTATCAAGTTCTGGGGTGTTGGCTATCTTTTCGGGTTTGGTCATCGCTCCGTCGCTTTGGTCGCGCCACGGCTTTGACCTCTATGACATCTTCATCGTTTCTAATTGTCTGGTGCCCCAGTTATCAGTCAGACAGTCAGACAAGTGCTCTTCCATGAGCGACCATCTACTGATTTCAGTTTGACTTGACGCCATTTCCTTTTCAGAGTCTTAGTCTTTCCTGACTGACACCTGCTCTCTCATTTCTCACAAGTATCATGTCGGTTGGTGGCTACAACAGCGAGGAGGTGGACCGTGAGCTTGCTGAGCAACTTCAAGAAGCAGAAGTTGCGGAGGGGGTGCCAGAGCAGACTTCAGAAGATGAGGAGTCAGAGGAAGCCGAGGAGGAGGGCGAGTTTCAAGATGATACCATCACCATTGTCTTGTCTGACACAGAGTGGTCAAAGATTTTGAAGCGCTACCCTATCACTGACGAGTTCAAGGCAAAGATTGAGAACATCAGCAACCCCGAACAGCTCCAGAACATCATCAACGACATGGCCAGGGATATCAACAATGAGATTATCAAGTTGAAGGCGACGAAGGCGATGAAGGAGCGCCTCAAGACCTTAATCAAGAAGGCCAGGGATGCTAAGGTCAAGAAGGAGCAGGGTGGTGAGACTACACAGGCAAAGAAAGGCAAAAGCATGTACACGGTGGCCATCTCGTTCAATGGGCGTCGCTTTGAACTCTCACTCAAAGGACGTGCAACATACAAGAGCATCAGGGAGGCTCTCCGCTTCAACTTCCCCAAGGAGTTCCCTTCCGAGAAGACCTTCAAGAAGCTGACTTTCACAGTGGAGGGCGCTTCTTCCAGTATGACGGCAACATTGGGAGCAACGAGGACGGAACTGCTGGCATGGGGGGCTACAGAGAATGCTCCACTCGTCATCAACGTGGTCGAGAAGTCTGGTTCAACCGCTTCAGCTTCCACAACGGGGGCAACCGCTTCGACTTCCTCAACGGGGGCAACCGCTTCGGCTTCATCATCGGCGGCACCTGCACCAAAGCCCAAGACAAAGAAGAGCAAGAAGTCCAAGAAGGACAACGTCGATGGAGTGAATGATGAGACGCAGTAGGCTCTTCTCACCATGAGACATGAGACAAGACACTGAGCAACGAGGGTTGGATTTCTCTCATGTGTTTGTTTAAACTAAATGCCACAGCCGTGTTGGAGATGTAAGCCCTATAGATTGACAGTGTCGGTTTTGAACGATGCACAGGCACAGACCCATCCGAGAGCAGTCAAAAGCTGTTCGCGTCAGTTTGAATGACGCTTGACTTTCTGCTTTGACATAGGATGGCATGTGTTCTCACCGTTGCCTTTTTCTGACTTCAAGCCATTTCTGGAACACTGTTAGTTATCAACCCATTCCGATGTTTCGTTTCGTCCTCGGATGTCTGAAGCAAACGGTGCTGACGGTGGTAGACTTCATCATGGTGAAGCTGGGCAGACGTGAGCGTCTCTCCGAAGAAGAGCAGTATGCCTTGGACTACATGACGTTTCTGAAAGACCACCGCGACATGTTCAGTGAACCGGCTAGTGTGCCAACTGTTCATGAGAAACAGCCAGTCCTTGAGATGTTTGACTGGATTGACTGACCTTCATGTATAGACTCCCTGAATGAGACTTGCAACAGCATAGAGCAAGTTCAGGATGCAGAGAAAAATCATGGACCATATGATTGTCAGTTTGAGACAAGGTTCTTGATACGTTGCTGTTTTGTAGCTTGAAAGCCTTTGTCCCCGCTGTTTTATCAATCAGTGGTTTTGTCATAGTTGTTTCCTGACTGAAGCCTCTCATCATGTCGTCTGCTGATGGCGCAGTCGACTTGAAGCAGACGAAGAAGGAGCACTGGACTCAAAGAGTGAATAGGGAAAACAGAGAACTTCGGGTGCTCAACAACAAACTGGTGGAGGAGTTGAGGAAGCAGGGGTCAGACATCGTCATTCAAGTTGGACCTTCATCATCATCCGCAACTGCTTTGGGAAGCCAAGGCGGTGAAGGTGATGAACAGCGTCCTTCAGAGGATGAGGGCGACAGCAGTGATGACTCGGACGACCCCGACGACTTTGATGACCCTTTCACGTCCATGGAGAAAAAGCGCATGGTGGTGAATGTGAAGTGTGGCTTTGATGAGAGGCGTCAGGGTGTCTTCCATGTGTGTGAGAAGTGGCAGGTGAAGCATCTCTCCTACATCATTGCCGATAAGTGGGGCATCAAGCCGAAGTTTCAGAGGTATGTGAACAACAAGGACGACCCCATCAACAAGGTGCTGACCTTCAAAGAGAACCAGATTGAAGACGGGGACACTCTCCAGATGCTCCTGAGCATTGGTGGCGGTGGCCTTGTGCGTCCTCACTTGACGAAGGAGCAGAAGGTTCAGAAGTTGAAGGACAAAGCCAGAGACTTCATCAACAGAACCGGTAGGGTCAACAAGAAACAGAGTGACGAGGATGACTTCGTCTTTGACGTGAACATCGTCGCCCCTGAAATCAAAACCTTCTTGGAAACCCATCGTCAGAAGATGGACGAGGTTGCCTTCATTCAGTCTCAGGGTCGCTGTGTCATCACTTTGGCCATCAAAGGCACGGAGACGGAAAAGCTTCAGACCATCAAGGAGTTGATGGAGAGGCCTATGAGGAACAGAGATGACACTTCTGAGACACGCATCTTGAAGTCGATGGTGATGATGTTCCCGACTTTGAACCTCATAGAAGAGAGCATGAGGGCAATGAGGGCAACTCAAAGAGACCTAGCAGTCATGAGTGTCAACATGTATATCAACAAATTTCATGAGGAGCACGGCAATGATGTTCGATACACTCATGCTTCATTCGTCAAAGAGATTGAGAAAGAGATGTTGGTGCGTGAGATGAGAAACAATCCAGCCAGTGAGCAGGTTGGTGGAGATGGTAATGCCTCCAGTTGTGCCATGTCGTAGGGACAGATTTGTCGGCTTTGACATTGGACGGCATGTGAAAAAAAGTGAACAACAGGGTGTGTGTGTGTGGGAAAGGTGAGACAGGACTTCGTTTGAAGGTAGGCTACTGCCACTTTTGCGGGTAGGCTACTGCCACTTTTGCGGGTAGGCTACCGCCACTTTTGTGGGTAGGCTACCGCCAGTTTTGTAGGTAGGCTACCGCCAGTTTTGTAGGTAGGCTACCGCCAGTTTTGTAGGTAGGCTACTACCACTTTTGCGGGCCCGTCTGAGGTTGAGAAGTCATCATGCGAACCTGCTACAAGACTGAACCCTGCAAGGCCTGGCGGACTGGTGGGAAAGGAAAAAGGGGAGGAAAAAAAAAATAAAAAAGCTCCTGTTTCAACTAACGTTGTCTCTTTTTTTTTTCCCTGTTGAACCCCAACAACCCTACCAACCCTACCAACCCTACCAACCCTACCAACCCTACCAACCCTACCAACCCTACCGACCCCGCATCCATCCCGCTTGTCAGAAGGTCCGACCTCATTCACATCTTAGGCGGGTTTCTCGGGTACGGGATAATAACAATCCTAATAAAACCATATACAAACCAGTATAAATACAAAAAAAAAACAAAAAAAAAACAAACAAACTATAAAACAAGGCGAAACTCTCGCGATTTTTTTTATTTTGAGGTCTCTCCCAAACCCATTTGTTTGTAAATGTTCGGTTATTTGGTCCTTTTCTTGTTTTTCAAAACCCTTGTTTTTCCCCATGAAATCCATCAAAATTAAAAAACATAACGAAACATAAAATCACCAAAACGGAGTTGAGAAAATCAAGAACTTTCAAATTTGCGACCAAACCTGAGAGCCCGAGCCTGTCCCTGAAAATAATTCTAATAATTTCATATTATTAGAACTATTTAGATAATTATTGAAAATAATTCTTCGCAAACCGTCCTCAAATGATATGTCCCCAAACACCCCTTTTGGGGACGTATCATTTTACCTAATGCTGTAATGCCCATATGGTAATGAAGTGAAAGCATCACTATAAAACCTTTTATTTTCATAATTACTGAGAGATTGCTTTACTTGAGACATTGAATATATTTGATGCGACTTACTTCTGATGAAGTTATATGTGATTTCATGCTTTTTGTTTTGAAATAATGCTTCGTGGTAGTTCTGATACGACAGTTCTTTTTTAACTTTGTGTTTCACTACACCTTTTGATTTCTTATGTTCATCATCCTCACCGTGAATTGTGAAGGCATATGATTTAGGTTTTAATCCAATGAATTTAGTAATGATTTTTCCATTCACTTCGTCCTTAAACATTCCTAAGACCTTTTTATTAGTTTTGTCATGACATGGATGCTCAACAGGATAGTCGCTAAAATCCATGTGTTGCTTTATATCATTGAAATCCTTATAGACATCATCAGTCATTGTTTGAATTACATAACTGTCAGTATCAGTATATATCAGTTTGATGTTTTCATTATACTTCTTTTTCAATACATCATAATAAAACTGATACATATGTAATTTGCTTAAATCTAAAATGCTCATTCCTAAGAAAATCGGTTTATCCAGTTTCAGTTTCGCTTTAGTTTTTTCAACTCCTACCAGATTTTCATTTATAATAAATCTGTTTTTGAATGTTGGGTTATTCACACATTTTTCATATCTAACTTCATTATCCACCAGTTCAAAGTCCATATGGTTTCGCTTGTCTTCCATAGTTTTTCCGTACACCGCGTTATTCATTAATTTGAATAAATCTTTCTCAAAATCGCTTTTGGCTTCTTTCCTTTTACCAGTGTTAAAATCAATCCACGGTTTCAACCATGCCCTTTGTTGAAATTTTAGTATCCTATGGACTTTACCCATTTTCATTCCCATTTTCAAATAATACTGTAAAGTCTTGATATGAACCACATATTTTTCTTTATCCTTTAGATTTAATATTAACTTACTTGTTTTCTCGTCCTTGGGACTTTTACCGTCATAATATATTTTGAAGACTTGCTTTTGATAGTCGGAAAGCATATTCACATTTACATTCATTATTTCA